TAGACTTAAACTACTTCAGTCTGTGTGCATTGAATTTATTTAATACACGAGTGTCACAATTTGAGTTGAATTACTGAAATAAATGAACTTTTCCACAACATATATATATTACACACACTGATGCTCCAGAAGGAAACACGATGCATTAAGAACCTGGAGGTGTAAACTTTTTGAATTTGAAGATCAGGATAAATTGAACTTATTTTGTCTTCTGGGAAACAGAAGTATCTTCTGTAGCTTCTGAAGGGCAGTACTAAATGAAAAAAATATATTTAGGCAAAATTTACACATCTTCATTCTGTTTAAAAGTTTACATTTTAGGTACTTACATGTTTCCCAGAGCATCAGTGAGCGTTTGAACCTTTTGTAATAGTTGCGTATGAGTCCCTCGGTTGTCCTCAGAGATGAGAGATGAATCTCAAAATCATACAGTCATTGTTGGAAAGGGTTCAAATACACAAAAATGCTCAAAGAATTTAAACAAGTGACTCATGAACAACTATCACTAAACAAAAAACACAGCTGTGGATCATTCAGCTAACAACACAGCATTAAGAGTCACTTAATGACTACAGTTTTTGACAGTCACTTTTGAACGGGGTCATTTTTATAAATTCATCTATTTTCTCCTGTGGACTATATTGTGAACATCTTTTATGTGAAATATCTTATTCTGGTCCGTACTAAATAAACAATAACATGAATTTTGTATGATCCCTCTTATTTCGGTAAAAAAAATTCTGCAAATTAAAAAACAGATTCTCCAAGCTGCATGTAAACTTTTGACTGTATAATAGGTTTTAGAATTGAAGCTATTGTATTTATAAAATTCACGGGGCAGGGGTTGAAAACCAGCTCCTGAATGTTGCACGGTTTCCACATGTGGCAACGGCTTCTTAAAAGAGCTGCTGGATTACAGGTTGTTGTGGAGTATGTGATCTGACGTAACTGCAAGACAGACAAAAAATATTGAATTACAATCACTTCACAAAAAGGAATTAAAGGCGTGGCAAGCATTGTGGTTACTGTGCTTTACAGATAGTATACAGTAAAAACAGATACTGTGGTAAAAGCATGGTAATTGTTGTTGTTACTGTGCTTTAACTACAAATACCACAGTAAAACTACAGCTACTGAGGTAAACCCATAGTAAGTGTTGTGGTTATGTGCTTTAACTACAAATACAACATTAAAAATACAGTCACTGTGGTAAAACCATAGTAAGTGCTGTGGTTAACATACGTAAAAAATACACAGTAAAAATACATTTAAGGTGAATCATGGTATATGTTGTAGTTACTGTGCATCCCTTACGAAAACTACCCACATGAAAAAAATACTATAGTAAATTTATAGTAAATACTATAGTGTTTTTGAACCACTATAGTAAATAAAATTCACGGGGCAGGGGTTGAAAACCAGCTCCTGAGTGTTGCACGGTTTCCACATGTGGCAAAGTGGTCAGGTAGGGGAAGCTACCAATAACAACGGACACAAATCCTATAGTTGACCACGCACCCGGAATATACCGGGACACAACAGCCCTATGCAAGGGCACACAGGTTCATTACCAAAGGCAGGGTGAGCATGGAGACATGGACAAGGTATAAACATTAAGCAGTTTATTTATATACACAAAATTTAGACATTAAATTGAACATTTATTTGTGTTCACAAGATCTTACATCACAAACCAAATACACAAATCTACCAGTTACAGGAATAACAGGAGTCGGGCCGAGTACCAAAACAAGCTTGTAGCCAATCAGCAATAAGGGGTGTGTCTACTCGTGATGTGGAGGAGAGAGTGCCCAGTGCACAGGACGGATATTAGCGAGCCGAGCGACAGAAAGATAGAGATGGCGGATAAACAAAAGAGGAAACCATCTGCAGAACAAAAGGCGGCTTACGATAAGGCAAGAAGTAGGACCTGTGTAAATATAAGATCAGCTTTCCAGCGCTGGAGAGAACTCAAGGAGCAGAAGGCCTTCGATCGGACGCTTATATGTTGTAGTTACTGTGCATCACTTACGAAAACTACCCACATGAAAAAAATACTATAGTAAATTTATAGTAAATACTATAGTGTTTTTGAACCACTATAGTAAAGTGTATTAGACTGTATATATTATAGTATTCACAACACTTAGCTAATGAATGCTACAGCATACTGTAACTATAGTGAACTGAAACTGTAATACTGTAGTAGTCTTTAGTTTTTACTACAGTGAACTGTAGTATATTGTAGTATAATACACCCTATAGTTGTAG